CTCTCCTCTCTTCCCATTTGGGCAGAAGGATTGTCCAGGACAAGCCCTTATTTTCCCCCAGGTTGTCAATGGAAAGCCCCTCTTTTTAACTTTTCCCCATTTATCTGCGAATGCCACATCCACATCCGTGCTTGTGATGCCCACCTTGGTCACATCAGTGCCATCATCCTTCCATGGAGAAAGGAACAAGCTCACAGCACAGGAGTGTGGTCAGAAGGGCTCTGTGGGCACCGTGTCCAGTGGCTCTGAGGGCTCTGCCATGACTCCTCCAACATGCAGGAATCATTCCTCTCTTCCCACCCTGTCCCCACCATCCTGAGCAGGCAGAAAGCACCAATTTCAGCCCTGCAGCATGCCCTGGTTTCAGGATCAGACAGATCTTCATCCTGCTGGAATCTTGTCCTCCTGAACATAGGGAGGCTGAAGGTCATTTTGGGGCCAGGATGATTTTCTGCAGGAGAGGATTTCAGCTGCTACGGGAATGGACTGGGTGGGTAAACACTGAATAATAATAATAAATAAAACCCAGGGAAATCAGCTCTCCTCAGAGTCAGTGGGATTTGCTCTCCATCCCTGTGCAGAGCAGCAGGATGGGGGGCTTTGGGAGGGGACCCCRGGGTGGGGAAGGCCCCAAATCACCAAATCCACCCCACACAGCAGCTCCGCTCCCAAGTGAGGCCATTCCAGCACGGAGAAAGGAATGATTGATGTGCAGCCACTCTGAGAGGGAGCCACCAGCCCCAGGGAGCTGCAGTGCTGGTCCTGGTGGGTTTCTCCTTCCATCACCCCCTTCCTGAGGCCTCTGAGTCTCTGCTGCCCTGAGGATGCTCCGGAGCATCCATCCAGGGCCGTGAGCAGCTGGAGTCCTCCCTGACTCCATTGCTATGGCAACCCCTTCTCGCAGGCATCTCCTCCTCTCTGCCACTCTCCCAACCTGCAGCAGACACCCAGCAGGGGTCAGAGACCTCTAGGGGGGTCAGGGACCTCCAGGAGGGTCAGTCATCCCCACCCCATCCCTGTCTCATTGCTCTGCCATGGAGGGAGGCAAATACAGCTCTGCCTGCACACCAGGCACTGTCCCCCAGCTCGGTGTTCCTTCATCCCACCTTTTCAGACTCCCTCTCCCTCTGGGAGCTGCAGAGATGGGTGGTGATGCTGGCAGGTTGGATTTGCTCCAGGGGTTTCCTTTGTAGGATCAGGGGGTGTCTGTACAGCCCAAATCTTTGGAGTAAATGATCAGGGGAACCACATCCCAAGCCCCATGGATCACCCTGCACCACCTGGAATGCGAGCACAGGCACCCAGATGAGACCTGCAGACACCTTCAGAYGCCTCTGAAAATCCTCAGAGCTTTTTCCTCGAAGGCCAATTGCATGAACTGACTCCTCAGCCAGAGGGAAACTGAGGCACAGAGGGGCTGAGTTGTTTTTTAGTCACCAACAGGCTGAGCCATTGTCTCTGCTCTGTTTGCTCCATGTCAGAAGTGCCATCCGTGGTCTGTGTGGGCAAAGGGGCTTCTGCCAGCTGGGGTTTTGTCTCATATTGAGGCTTTTTTGTCTTCCCGGCCTCTAGAGGAGCAGAATTCCTCCAGCACAGGCTACCTTTCCATATCTGGAAAGAGGTGTGGRGAGGGAGTTAGAGGAAATGCAGRGCRATTTTTCTATCATTTTGCCATCTATTAGTTGGCATTGTCCAGCACTGAAAGGTTCAGTAGAATTTATTTATTCTTCAGGCATTGCTGTGCTGCCCCAGAAGCCCTAAACCTCCATGTGTGTCTCCTGCAAGGCTCAGGAAGAAATGCAGTGAGGTTGTCTGCTCTGGACCAGTTCTGCAAGGCTGGCTCATATTCCATGTTATGCACTCCCCAGGGCAGGGAACGTCCTAATAACTTTAATTTACTCCTCACTCAGGAAGGGGGTATAGCTCAGTGGTAGAGCATTTGACTGCAGATCAAGAGGTCCCTGGTTCAACTCCAGGTGCCCCCTTAGAGGTTGCTTTTTATATCAGAAATTAGAAAAAATATCTTTACTGTGAGGGTGGTGGGGCC